ACCTTTTGTTTTGACGAACATGAGCACTGACAAGTATTGTTCAAACAAAAGGCAGATCGAGCAGAAGGGAGTGTATTCGGACACAGTTTCCCTCCCCTCCCCTCTCCTCACTTTTTCTTCCCTCCCGTCTTCTCTCATCTTCTCTTAGACCAAACCCAGAGCCTCTCAATAATGCAAAATAAATGCTCTACCAAGGAATTAGGTCTCTGGTTTCGTAGTTATATTCTTGATTTTGGGGGGTGGGGTGGGCAGGCCCAGTGATGCTCAGGGCTTACTCCTGGCTTTGCATTTGGGAATTACTCCTGGCGGTGCTCGGGAAACCCTATGGGCTGCCAGGGATTGACCCAGATCGGCCGCATGCAAGGCAACTTTCTCCCCGCTTTACTATCTCTCTGGCCCCTTGTTAATTATATTCTTTAAAATAAATATGAAGGGGCTGGAGCAATAGCACAGCGGGTAGGGCGTTTGCCTTGCACATGGCCAACCCAGGTTCTATTCCCAGCATCCCCTATGGTCCCCTGAGCACCGCCAGGAGTAACTCCTGAGTGCAGAGCCAGGAGTAACCCCTGTGCATTGCCAGGTGTGACCCAAAAAGCCAAAAATAAATAAATAAATAAATAAATATGAAAAAGTTTTTTGTTGTTGGGGCTGGAGCAATAGAGTACAGTGGGGAGAGCATTTGTCTTGCATGCAGCTGGCCCAGGTCCAATCTCTAGCGCCCCGTTTGGTTCCCTGACTCTGCCAGCTCTGGCTCCTGAGTTCAGAGCCAGGAGTAAATCCTGGTATCGCTGGATGTGTCCCAAAGGTCAAAGAAAGCAAAACCAAACAACTTTTTGTTGTTAACAGATAATAATACATAACTGGCCCGCAGACAGCACAGGGGGGCCGACCGGGGTTTGATTCCTCCGCCCCTCTCGGAGAGCCTGGCAAGCTACCAAGAGCATCCTGCCCGCACGGCAGAGCCTGGCTAGCTCCTCGTGGCATATTCAATATGCCAAAAACAGTAACAAGTCTCACAATGGCGACGTTACTGGTGCCCGCTCGGCAAGTCAATGAACAATGGGAGGACAGTGCTACAGTGCTGATAATACATAGGCTACACGGTGCAGGTGGAGATTCAAGGGCATTTCTGTGTGGCTCAAGCCGTGAATGAGAAGCATTTATTACTTTCCTTGTTATTTGAGTCTCCTGCCCCCAAGCCTGGCTGTCCTCACCAGGGCGCCTTGGAGGGGGTGGGTTGAGTTTCCCTCTTCCCCCCCCCAAGCAGAGCCCCAGCAGCCGAAGGAGAGTGGTCTCAGCATGTGTGACCCCCGCCTACTGGAATTTGGAGGATCAGGGGAGGATGCTCGGCCCAAATCCGAGTAGGCTTGGAGATCTCGGCCCCGGAACCCGCGTGACTTTGTCCCTCTGCCAGTACCTTCACGTGTGCGGAGAGTGGTCTCAGCATGGTGGTGGCTGGTCCTGGAGGTCTTTGGCTGCAGGAGCCCTGGTCGGGGCGGGGAGGAAAGCTCAACCCGCTCCCCTCCAAGGGGCCCCGGCGGGCGGCGAGGACAGTCAGGTGCGGGGGCAGGAGACTTCTGCATGACATCTTATTATCTCATTTTTCCTTTGGAGAACCTGGCAGGCTACCAAAAGTATCCTGCAAACTTCTCGTGTTGTACTCAATATGCCAAATACCAGTAACAATGATGGGTCTCATTCTCCTAACCCTGAAAGAGCACTGGAAATGGCTCTTTTAAAATCTCAGGGCTAGGAAGGAGACATTACTGGTGCCTGCTCCAGGCAATCAACGAACAACAGGATGATCGTGATCGTTATTTGCCCTGTAGAAAATGGTCTGTTAACCTGTGACTACCTCCAGAAGTTGCCATCTGTATCCCAATGCAGAGAACTCCACAAAGGAGAAAGTGCTGAAACCGGAAAAACAGCTGCTAACGAGCGATCAATGGGGTGTGGGTTGTGCAGGACCTTCACCCATGCAAGGCCAGTGCTCTACCGCTAAGCTTCGCAGCTTCCGACTTTAACAGACCGTTAGTTAGTGCCCATCATGCGTGTAATTTCTCCCACCATATCCAGGCAGCGGGCGGATTGGGGCCGGAAACCCGAAACCCACAGCTCCTGTCGCTTTAAAATTTCCCGCCACTGGACCGGTTTAGGGCATAGGCCACGCCCCTCGCGCAAGCCCGGCCCTTCTGTTCTTGCCACCCAATCCGCTGCGAGCCGGCCTTTTAGCCAATCAGAAGTGATTTTAGGCGGGCGCTGCCGCTCCGCGAGCCAATAGAGGGCTCGGCTGGGTCACGTGGGAACTGCCGGCTACCGGGACGCCACGTGGGTGCCGGAGGAGCCGCGCGGGGCTCTAGGTGAGGCGGGGGAGCGGGTCGCGGCGCTGCCCGGGACCCCCGAGGTCGGCAGGTGGCGGCGCCTGATGGACGCCCTGGGCCTGTGCCGAGTCACGCCCGGGCACGGCCGATCCGGTTGCCTGGGCCCCGTGGGTCGCCGGCCGGACCCTGGACGCCGCCTGGCCGGACCGGCGCGGCCCTGGGGTCGGCCCAGCAGCCGGGGGGGACGGAGGGGCGGTCAGTGATCGACTCTCGGGGTCTGGGGCCGTGGCCTGGAGGCAGGAGATGGGGCCAGGCCTCTCCCTTGCGCCTGGCGGTGCGGGAGATGACTGGAGGGGCGGGAATATCCGCCCCAGCAACCGCCGCCCCCAGCACCCCGACTTTCCTGGTTGCGAGAACTTTTTTAGCAGCCCAGGCCGAGTGTTAGGCCTCTGACTCGGCGGAGTGGAGGGGCGGCAGGTGACCAGATGCCAGTGCCAAGTGGCAGTTAGATTGACCTGGCTCTAGGGCCCCATGCTTCCTGGACATCCGTGCTTGGGGGGCGGGGGGACACGGACAGCCCTTTTCTTGAGTGACTTTGCAGGGTCCACTGCCCCAGCAGGCACCCCAGGCCAATCTGAGGGCGTCTGCCAGCCTGACGCCGCTTGGAGTGCCAGGTAGTCATGAGGATAATGGGGAGCCAGTGCCAGGTAGTCATGAGGATAATGGGGAGCCGCTCCCTGCTGCCTTCTTGTGGGGGTCCTGCCTGCTTCCATGGGGCGGAAGGGGCCGCGCCCTGAGTAATTATAGGTTCCAGCAGGACAGCCAGGTCCGGACTTCAGGAGTGGAGGAGAGTTTGCACTCATCTCCCTAGGACCAGGGCTCTGGAATGAGGCGAGCTGGTTTCTAGCTCCCTTGAAGTCCTGTAGCCACCAGGAGCTCTGCTTCTCGGGGAGGAAAAGCAGGGGCCAGTGTGTTCCCTACCTCCCACCTCAGGCAGCTGTCTGCAGCTCAGCCTGTGGCCCACCAGCCTGTGGGAGCGGCCCACAGCACCAGCCTCTTTTAGATCCCTGGCTGTGCTCAGGGATCATTCTTGGCAGGGATGGGGGGTAGCATATTGGGTCGATTGCCTCGAGCAGGCCCCAGTAACGTCTCTTTCATCCTAGCCCTGAGATTATATTCAAGGCTCTTTAGGAGAATGAGACCCATCATTGTTACTGGTATTTGGCATATTGGGTACGCCACGGGGAGTTTGCCAGACTCTGCCCTGTGGGCCGGCTACATTCGATAGCCTGCAAGTTTGTCCAAAGTAGGAATGAGATGATAAGATGTCATAGAAGATGTCCTGATAAGATGTCGCGCAGCCGCGAATGCCAATCCGAGTAGGCTGGGAGATCTCGGCCCCGGAACCCGCGTGGATTTGTCCCTTTGCCAGTACCTTCAGGTGTGCGGAGAGTGGTCTCTGCATGGTGGTGGCTGGTGTTGGGTGTTGGGGTTCAAATCCTGATCATCCTTGTGCCAGGCAAGAGCCTTTCCTGATGTACTACCTCTCAGGCCCTGCACCAGCCCCTTTTAAGGAGAGCAATGCCGGGGGTGGGGGCAATCACTGGGCGCTTCGCCTCTGCCTCCACCCTGCCCCTTACACACACACACACACACACACAATCTTCCCATAAGGCTGAGGTCCTTCCTGTCTCCCAGCCTGCGGGGATTATAGATGGGGGTGAAAACTTTGGGGGCACCCCTAATAGAGAGGGAAAGGGCACCAGATCCGTCTGCAGCTGTGTCCAGGACAGGAAGGATGGACAAACCCTGTGGCCTGCACCCGTGGGGAGGGCCAGGCAGAGGAGGGCCCAGAGGAGACAAAGTCCAGCCATGTGGGAAGCCAGGCCTGGGTGTGGAGACCATGGGAAAGGAAGTGGGGTGCAGGAGGGACGGCTGGGGGGGCCGGAAGCTCTGCGTCTGGGCCTGGCTCTCCTAGTGAGTGTTGTCTCTCCCCCATGCACCCGCCCTGTGTGCCTGGGTGTCCTGGGGAAGTGATTTGCTGCTTTCTGCCTGCCTGGGGGAGCCTTTGGGGCTCAGTTCTCTTCTGTGACAGGAGGACACTTCTGCAGTGGGAAGACCGCATGAATCTGGGGAGAGAGCTTGGGGTTCTGGTCTGCTTAGGGCGCTGAACCCGAACGTTAAAATGGATCCTCTGCGCGGGAGAGATAGCCCAGGGAAAAGGGCACTTTCCTGCACGTGGCCAGTCGGGGCTGGATCCCTGGCATCCTTTGTAGCTGCCTGATCACTGTCAGGAGTGATCCCTGAGAGCAGAGACAGCAGTCAGCCCTGAGTACCACTGGGTGTGGCCCCCAAGTGAAACACCAAATAAAATGGGGCCTCAACTCCTCTCAGGAGAGAGTTTTGTTGTTGTTTGTTTCTGGGGTCATACCCAGCGATGCCCAGGACTGACTCCTGTCTCTATGCTCAGGGATCACTCCTGGTGGGCTCTGGAGACTAAATGGGGTGCTGGGGAAAAAGCATGGGTCTACTGCATGCAAGGCAAGCCCCCTCGCTCCTTACTGTCCTCCAAGCCAAGGGGAGAGTTTTGCAGGGCTGTGGGTGCTGGACGCCTGGCTCACCACCTCCCCCCCATGCCAACCAGGTGGGGGCTTCTCTTGTAGAGCAGTAAGCTGCAGCATGGTGTCCCCAGAGGCGAGTGTGTCCACCCAGTGCCTGTGCCCCTCCCCCGCCGGCCTGGACTCCAAGGACAAGCAGAAGCCCAGGAAGCGGAGCCGGCAGCACCAGCGGGTCCTGGCGCAGCGCCTGGGGCTGAGCCCCCGCACAACCCGGGCCTCTGAGCCCTCGCTGCTCCCCCTGCCGCCGTGCCCCCACGCCTCGTTCCTTGGGAGGCTATGCCCCAGGGCCGAAAGTGGCCCCCGGGTGGCCGCCGGGTGCGTGGCCTCGCCCAGCAAGTGCGTGGCCATCGACTGTGAGATGGTGGGCACGGGGCCCCGGGGCCGTGTGAGCGAGCTGGCCCGCTGCTCCGTGGTCAGCTACCACGGCGACGTCCTCTACGACAAGTACGTCCGGCCCGAGCTGCCCGTCGCCGACTTCCGCAGCCGCTGGAGCGGGATCACGCAGCGGCACCTGAGCGGAGCCGTCCCTTTCCAGGTGGCCCGGAAGGAGGTGAGGTCTGGGGACGCGTGGGGCGCCCCTGGCAACCCGGACCCGAGCCTGCCCGCGCTGCGCACCACGCCGTCCTGAGCCCCGGCCCCGCCCCCGCCCCCAGGTCCTCAAGCTGCTCAAGGGGAAGGTGGTGGTGGGCCACGCGCTGCACAACGACTTCCAGGCCCTCAAGTACGTCCACCCGCGCAGCCACACCCGCGACACCACCTGCGTGCCCAGCCTGCTGGGCCCCCACGGTGCCCCGACGCGCGCCCGCGTGTCCCTCAAGGGCCTGGCCTTGGAGCTGCTGCACAAGAAGATTCAGGTGAGCCCAGGGCCGCCGGCGGGGCCTGGACCGGGCCGAGCGAGGTGGGCGGATCCCTGGGCGCGGTGGGCGGGGCCCTGGGCGCGGTGGGAGGATCCCTGGGCGCGGTGGGCGGGGCCCTGGGCGCGGTGGGCGGATCCCTGGGCGCGGTGGGCGGGGCCCTGGGCGCGGTGGGCGAGGCCCTGGGTGCGGTGGGCGGGGCCCTGGGCGTGGTGGGCAGATCCCTGGGCGCGGTGGGCGGATCCCTGGGCGGATCCCTGGGCGCGGTGGGTGGGCCCTGGGCGCGGTGGGCGGATCCCTGGGTGCGGTGGGCGGGGCCCTGGGCGCGGTGGGCGGATCCCTGGGCGCGGTGGGCGGGGCCCTGGGCGGTGCAAAGAGTGGTGGGTGTGGTCTTGCCTGCTGGGGGCGGGGCGGGGCCTTGGGTGTGGTGGATGCCCGCGGGCAGCCTCGCTTCCCCAGCTTTGCCCATGCCGCCACCTGTAGGTGGGCCAGCATGGACATTCGTCTGTGGAGGACGCCGCCACGGCCATGCAGCTGTACCGGCTGGTGGAGGACCGCTGGGAGGAGCAGGTGGGCGGCCTCTGCGCCCAGCCGGAGGACCGAGAACGGGACAGCAGCTCTGATATGCAGCAGTTCATGGATGACCGCTACTGGCCCGAGGACCTGGCCCCTGGCCCTGGGGCAGGAGGGACGCGGGTTCCCTGTGGAGAGTAAGGACCGGGAAAGCCCGGGAGTGGGCTTGGCTGCCCAGCGCTGGGCTACTGGCACTTTAGAGACCAGGGGCGTCCTATTCCAGCCCCACAGGAACTGGGCCTCCACCTCGTCCATGTGGGGGCTCCACGGTCACACAGGTAGCAGTGGAACCCCCTGGGGAGGCTCTAGGGGGACATGGCTTCCTTTCTGCGTGCCAGGAGCCCTGTCCCCTCAACATGCACCCGCTCTGGGAACGACAGCTTGTTTACTGTCACCCGGTCTGACCTGCCTGTGCCCTGGGTGAGCAAACCTGGGGATTCTGGGACTGCATCTGGTGCTGGGAATTCCTCCAGCTTCTAGAATGTTCTCCACAGGGTACTGTGGAGCCCGTGCCTCCTGCCAGAACTACCTCTGGGGACCCCCGGATATGCCCACAGCTGCCCCTGCAGCTAGGGGCCTGGCTTATCCCCCTCCCCCCTGCAGTGACCATGCATGCAGTCTCCCTTTGCTGCCCGCACACCTCCCGGACTCCCTGCGCCCCGTCCTGCGGCTGGGCTTGTTGGGGAGCCTGGGTTGGTCTGTAGGTGAGGGGAGGAGGATCAGAGTGCCGGGTCTCAAACCTTTGGGAATAAAGCCCCATGGAAAAAGAGGGTGATGTCTGAGTTCATGGCCCCCTAGATGGTGCTTGGGAATGAGGCCACAGTGTTGGGGCCCCGGATCCAAGATCACTCGCACAGGTGTTGGGTGGCGCTGAGATGCACGGGGCATCAGTTTGCGGGGGGGGGGGGGGGGGGGGCGCACATTGGGTTACTCCTGGGTCTGTGCTCAGAGATCACACGTGGTGGCAGGGTCTAACCAGAGTTGGCATGAGCCAGACCAGCAACTTCCTGCTGTGCTATGGCTCAGTCCCCAATTTATCTTGAGCCTTATATATTTGGTTTTTGGGCCACATATCCAGAGGTGCTCCAGGCTTCCTGTCTCTGCACTCAGGGGTCACTCCTGGTGTGACTCTGGGGACCTTATGGGATACTGGTCTGAACCCGGTTGGTCATGTGCTAGGCAAGTGTCTCCTCTCCACTGTACCATTGTGAGCTTTTTTTTTTTTTTTTGGCTTTTGGGTCACATCCAGCGGTGCTCAGGGGTTATTCCTGACTCTGCACTCAGAAATTACTCCTGGTCGTGCTCGGGGGACCCTATGGGATGTCGGGGATCGAACTCAAGTCTGCCATGTGCAAGGCAAACACCCTCCCTGTTGTACTATCACCCTGGTCCCTGTGAACCAGTTTCAAGCACATCTTTGCAAGTGAGAGGCCTGGGTTCCATCCCTGGAATCTCCTGGTGTGTCCTGAGCACTGCAAGGAGTGACCCCTGAGTACAGAGCCAGGACCAGCCCTGGAGCATGGCCATTCTTCATCCCCTGCCCAAAGGAAAAAGGAAACAGCAAGTGCCCAGTTGGAATTCAAGCTATAGCACTCATTCCAGCAGGACCCCAAAGGGATCCCTCCTCACTCCAATCAGCAGCATATTTTACAAGTGTTTGGGCCACACCCGACAGTGCTCAGGGATCACTGGCAGTGCTCAGGGGAACCATATGGGATGTCAGGGATCAAACCCAAGTGGGCTGTGTGCAAGACAAGCGCCCTGCCTGTTGTACTGCCACTCTGGCCCCAAGCTGGGACCAGTCGGAGAAAGAGGGCCTCCATCAGCCCTTCCGTAGTTACCGGGGTGTGGCTTGCCATAGCCCTGGGAGTGCCAAGCCACACTTCCCTTGTGCCACCACGCACCCTGGCACTCTGCCAGGGGCAAAGGTCATGAGGGGGCACTTTTCCTCTGACCCTCACCACCAGAGGGACAGCCACACTTCCCTTGTGCCACCACGCACTCTGGCACTCTGCCAGGGGCAGAGGTCATGAGGGGGCACTTTTCCTCTGACCCTCACCACCAGAGGGACAGCCACACTTCCCTTGTGCCACCACGCACCCTGGCACTCTGCCAGGGGCAGAGGTCATGAGGGGGCACTTTTCCTCTGACCCTCACCACCAGAGGGACAGCCACACTTCCCTTGTGCCACCACGCACTCTGGCACTCTGCCAGGGGCAGAGGTCATGAGGGGACACTTTTCCTCTGACCCTCACCACCAGAGGGACAGCCACACTTCCCTTGTGCCACCACGCACTCTGGCACTCTGCCAGGGGCAGAGGTCATGAGGGGGCACTTTTCCCCTGACCCTCACCACCAGAGGGACAGCCACACTTCCCTTGTGCCACCACGCACTCTGGCACTCTGCCAGGGGCAGAGGTCATGAGGGGACACTTTTCCTCTGACCCTCACCACCAGAGGGACAGCCACACTTCCCTTGTGCCACCACGCACCCTGGCACTCTGCCAGGGGCAGAGGTCATGAGGGGGCACTTTTCCCCTGACCCTCACCACCAGAGGGACAGCCACACTTCCCTTGTGCCACCACGCACTCTGGCACTCTGCCAGGGGCAGAGGTCATGAGGGGGCACTTTTCCTCTGACCCTCACCACCAGAGGGACTAGTGTGATCAGCTGCCCTTTTACAGAGCTAGAACTCATCCATTCATTCATGCATTGAGTGAACATCATTTCTCGCCCTTTGTACCCCGGAAATGGTGGTGGTGGTGGAAAGGATAACACTGGATTGGTCCTTTCAACCTTGCCCAGGAAACTTAGGTCTATCTGGTTACACCCATCACAGTGCGCCCTGAGTCACTCCTATTCCTTTGCTTATCTCTTCCCTGTGCTCTCCTCCCCAACTAGTTAATCACCTTTTTTCCTAATCAGATTCGGTTAGCTTGTAAGGTCAGATCCTTCTCAGATCCTTCTAAGGACACTGAACTTGTAAGTTATGTCTTTTGCCTAGTTTACCTCAAAGCAATGTCCTTTCTGTATAGACGCAGGAAGACAGTTAATATGCTTTTGTAACTTGGGAGTTAATTGACTCCGAATAATATTCACTCCTGAACATCTGCTTTCTTGACTTAGTTGCCCTGAGTTCCTAGCATCCCCAAACCAGGGTCCCGATGAGGGACCGAATGGACCCAGGGCAAGCTGTGAGCTACCCTGGCATCAAAATGGGCCAGGCCACGGGCCATAATACTTAACTATAAGTTAAGAGCACGGTCACGGACAAACTCTGTCATGACCCAAAAGAGGTAACTGGATAAGGACCCTGCTGGGATTAGGAAGACTAACCTAGCCTGAGGACTGCTCTGGAATACATAGTGAGATGTCCTCAGGAAGAACCAAACTTTAAGCTTGATATATCTCTTACTGTGCTCATACAGAATGACATTACTAGAAATATTAGACGTAGATTTACTACAACTATCTGTAACTAAGTACAACTATAAGTAACTAAGTGGATTACTAGCCGGGGAAAGAAGAAAGCGACACACCCTGGATGGGGTCCTTAAGTGGGTCTCCAAATAATTTGGAGTGGTCTCCTGAGATCCTGCACAGCAGAGCCTGGCAAGCTCCCTGTGGCGTTTTCGATATGCCAAAACCAGTAACAATAACGGGTCTCATTCCCCTGACCCTGAAAGAGCCTCCATTATGGCAGCGTTGGGAAGGAAGAGTAAGGAGAGGCTGCTAAAAATCTCAGGGCTGGGACCAATGGAGACATTACTGGCACCCGCTCGAGCAAATCGATGAACAACGGGATGGCAGTGATACAGTGAATCTGCTCAGAGGAGATTTTATCCTTGAGTTAATCTGGAGGAGTGGCCTTATCTCTCTTTGTTGATTTGTTACTGTTCAACCCCCCTTTCGTATTACCACCCTACGTGATTGCTGTACAAACTAAGACTGTAAAATCTATGGGGGAGAGCTAGGGATGAAGGGTAAGGGGACCAGGGATGAAGAGTGCGTGAGACGGGAGAGACGGGAGATTGAATAATCGGCGACTGATCAGCAACCAGCTTGGTCCTTGTTCTTCGCCTGCCCATCACCAGCAGCCGTCCCGATCCGGTCCATACACAGCAGCTCAAGAGCCCGGAATGCAGGGCGGCGAGAGAGAGCCTGCAAACACTTCCTTTGGCGGAATAGATTTTTTCACAGTAGGGGACTCCCGCTCTTGATCTTTTTCTGTGAGCTGGGGCAGAGCACAGAGAGGGCACACCGTTGGGCCCCAGGCAGCCCTCCCCTGAGCCAACGCTGCCTGTGGGCCCCGGTCAGTCTCGCAACATCCCCCTGAAAAGCCTCAAAGTTTCAAGAACCTGTTCTCCCTTCCCCCACAGACGCCCTGGGTGAGAGTACCTGGAAATCCGGGTGCATTCCCGGTGTCCCTGGGTGGAGGAAGGGAGGGAGGAGAGGGTGGGCAGGACACTTGGCTCAGGGCTACTCCCACTTCCCCAGCCCTGCCCTTTAAGGAAACAGAAACTGAAATAGCCCCGGAGGGTGAAGGTCCAGGGTCAGCGCAGCTGAACGCAGTGGAAGGCAGGTGAGAGGCGGCTGCGGGGCTTCCCTGGTGGGCGGACCTCAGCTCCCTTTAGGAGGGTGCCAGAAGCTGGGGACAATGGCAGGGAGTGAAGGGTATCAGGCAGTGGGCGGTTGTGGGTAATGGTGGGGGTCACCTGGATCTGGGGTTCCCTTGGGATGATGCACTCTTCTGTCCCCCTGCAGCTCATCTGAGGAGTCCCCAGAGCATGGCGGGGAGGAACCCAGAGGTGGTGGCCATCGACTGTGAGATGGTGGGCACAGGGCCCCGGGGCCGCGTGAGTGAGCTGGCCCGCTGCTCCGTGGTCAACTACCAAGGCGAAGTCCTCTACGACAAGTATGTCCAGCCCAAGATGCCCGTCACCGATTTCCGCAGCCGCTGGAGCGGGGTGACCCGCCAACAGCTGGAAGGGGCTACACCCTTTGCCGTAGCAAGATTGGAGGTGAGCAGGGTGGACACATGGACCGCACACTGACCCTCGCACTGAACTACACACCGACCCCACACACTGGGCCCCTAGTAGTCTGCACATGGAGCCTGGGGGACAGTGCTGTCGGTGCCCGCGTGTGTCCCAGGTGTCACTCCTGCCGCCAGGCCGCCCTGGCTCCCACCGACTGGCCCTGAGAGGGGCATCACAGCTGGAGCGCAGGGGTGGGGTCAGGCAGGGAGCGCCACTCTGGAGGGTCAGGTGCCCCGATGGCCGGGGAGCAGCTGTCCCTCTAGGTGGTCAGGAGGGACAGTGGGGGCCGTGGCCTGGCTTCAGGTATGAGTGAAGGACCCGGAGAGAAACCAGGCAGGGCCCCGCGCCCAGGGTCACACAGCAAGGTGCACCCCCCCCCCCCAGGTCCTCAGGCTCCTGCAGGGGAAGCTGGTGGTGGGCCATGACCTGAAGCACGATTTCAAGGCGCTCAAAGCGGACATGGGCAGGTACCACACCTATGACTCGGCCACTGACCCATGGCTGCGGCATGCGGCCCAGCTTGGATATGACCGTCCCAAAGTGTCCCTTCGGGAGCTGAGCCAGAAGCTGCTGGGACGCGATGTCCAGGTGAGCTGAGACCCCAGGGTGGCACACTGTGAGGGGACCCTGAGTCCCAGGAGGAAGGGAGGGAGGGAGGGAGGGAGGGAGGGAGAAAAGGAAGATAGGGTGTTTGTATGAGTGTGTGGTATGTGTGAGTCTCTCTGTCTGTGTGTATCTGTGTGTGTGTGGTATGTGTGTGTCTGTGAGGGAGTGGGTGTGTCTGTATGTATGTATGTGCCTCTGTTTATCTCTCTGTGTGTATATGTGAATGTCTCTGTATCTCTGTGTGAGGGTATGTGAGAATGTCTCTGTGTATCTGTGTGTATTTGTGTGTCTAGATCTCTGTGTGTGAGTGTGTGTCTGTATCTTTGTGTGTGTCTATGTATGTGCCTATATATCTGTGTGTGTCTCTGTGTCTCTGTGTGAGTATGTGTCTGTATCTCTGTGTGTGTATGTGTATATATGTGTGCGTGTCTGTGTCTTTGTGAGTAAGTGTATGTGTGTGTCTTGTATCTCTGTGTGTATGTGTGTGTCTGTGTATCTCTGTGTGTGAGTGTGTGTCTGTATCTTTGTGTGTGTATGTGTGTATCTGTGTGTGTATCTGTGTGTATATGTGTATATCTCTGTGTTGTGTGAGTGTGTGTATCTATGGGTGTGTGTGTGGTTGTGAATGTGTCTCTTTGTCTCTATATGTATGTGTGTCTCTGTGTGTGACGGTGCCTGTGTATGTGAGTGTGTCTGTGTGTGTATATGAGTGTATCTCTGTGTGTATGTGAGTGTGTCTCTGTGTATGTGAGTGTGTCTGTGTCTGTCTCTGTGTATGAGTGGGCATGTGCGACTAACTGGGGCCCTCAGGTAAGGTGAGTGCTCTGTGCTGAGCCCTCTGATTAGTTGATCTCAGACCGATCCCAGCCCCAGGGCAGAAAGAGGTGGGGAGTTCCATCCCCGACTTGCCAAAGAGCAGCTGTGTCTGTGAGATCTGGGCCTGTTTCCCTGCGCCTCTGCAGCTTCTGGGGCAGGGGTGCCAGGGTCTGCACCATTGCCCCCATCAGCGTGGGTCGGGCAGGGTGCTGCAGCAAGGCCCCCTGCCCTGTGGGCTGCAGCAGAGGGGAGCAGCGCTGGGCAAGGCTGGGGCCCCAGGATGCCCCAGCACAGCCCCCCACCCTTTAAAAATTCTTGGGCCACACCCAGCAATGCTCAGGGCTTCCTCCTGGCTCTGCACTCAGGAATCACTCCTGGCAGGCTCAGGGGACCGCATGGGATGCCGGGGATGGAACCTGGGTGGGCCGTGTGCCAAGCAGCACCCTCCTGGGGGTCCTGTGGCTCGGACCCAGCCTCTGCTCTCCTTCTACACCCCCCCAGTCCAGCCAGTCGGGGCACAGCTCCGTGGAGGATGCCAAGGCCACCATGGAGCTGTACCAGCTCTCCCAGCGACTCCGAGCCCAGGACCAGACCTAGGGCCAACCCAGGACCAGAGGCCCCTCTGCGCAGACACCCGCTGGCTTCTCCAGTCCACATCCTGGCAAATAAACGTGCTTGTCCTGTCTCCCAGTGGGGCCCCTGGTCTCTGCTCTGCCTGACTCCAGAGCTGCCTGGAGTCTGTGGGCCGCGCTTTGATGACAGGTGGCTGGGGGGGGGTCCCTGCCCTCAGCCCCTTCCAGTTGTGTCTGTGCTGTACTGGGGTAGGGCGGGGTCGGCCCCCTCTTGCAGGCCTTTTCCGTGCTCAGAGCAGTGACACAGGGGCCCTGACGCCAAAGGGCCAGAGGTTGGTGGATGCCAGCTCGAGTGACCACCCCATTTTTTGAGGGAGCGGCACCTGGAGATGCCCAGGGTTACCCAAGCGGCGAGGCTGAACTGGCCACCAGGGGGCGCCTGGGGGCCGTGTCGGGGTCTCGTGGGCACCTGGGCCCAGGAACAGTGCCTGTGTGTGTGCATGTGTATGTGTGTGCATGTGTGTGTGTGTGCGTGTGTGTGTGTGTTTGTGTGTGTGTGTGTGTGTGTGTGTGTGTGTGTGGTCTCAGAGGGGTCCCTGGAGGCCTCTAGCCTGCCCTCAGTCGGCCCCAGATGGGGGCAGGATTGTTCCAGAAGGCGGGTGGGGCTGTTCACAGATGACCCCTGCCATTCCCTGGAGACCCAGCCGCCCCACAGGTGGGTGTCAGGACAGAAAGGGGTTTGGGAGCCAGGGCCTCGTCCGGGCTCACAGACGCCAAAGGGGCCCAGGCAGGAGTCATGTCTGAGACCACATCCACTACTCACCGCACGACACCCCCACCCACCCCAGCCAGCCCCAAACTCCATATACCCTTAACATCCCTCATCTTGACCCCACACATCCATGACCCCATACACCCCACCCCACACACCCACCCCCATACACTCACCCCATACACCCCACTCCATACACCCTATGCCCTCAGCCCCCATAAGACCCCCGAGCCCCCGAATATAAAGTAACAAAATAGGAGACTAACACCCAAGAATAGCCGAGATAAGTACCAGGAGGTTTACTCCATGGCTTGGAGGCCAGCCACACATGCCAGGTGAAAAAGACAGCTCAGATAGAGAAGGGAGCACCAAGTAAAGGGTGTTGGGAGGATCCTCCCAGGATGGGAGAGTAGACTCTAGACTGAACATGATTGCCACTCAATGCCTCTTTTGCAAACCACAACACCCAAAAGGAGAGAGAGAACAAAGGGGAATGCCCTGCCACAGAGGCAGGGTGGGATGGGGGGGATGGGGGTGGGAGGGTTACTGGGATTTGTGGTAGTGGGAAATGGGCACTGGTGGAGGGATGGGTACTCGATCATTGTATAACTGAAACCCAAGCACAAAAATTTGTAAGTCTACATCTGTACCTCATGGTGTTTCACTAATAAAAATTAAAAAAAAGACAGCCCCCATCCACCCCACTCCCATATCCCTAGCCCTATACCCCCACTCCCATACATCCCACCTCCAAAGCCCTACTGCCCACCACCCTATACTCCATCTGACACCCCACCCCTACACCTCACCCCCAAACTCACACCCCTTACACCCCCAGCAGGGCCCGAGACCCCGGCATTAGTTCACTGACTCCTGAAGGGGCAGCCCCCCAGCCCATGAGAGCAAACTTGTTCTTCTATCACCCCAGGAGAGTTGGGGTGCCCCCAGCCCCTCATCACTGGCCCTTGAGGTGTGTCCTGTCCAGAGCATATTCCTGGCCCCTGCTCAACCCCCAGCACTGCTCAGTTGAGTCCAGAGACCTGTGGCAGCTCAGGGACCAGACTCTGTCTCACCACCCCCCACCCCCGGCATGGGGACCAGGCTCCAGCTCCCCCCTCTCCCCAGGCACAGAGGCAAATGTGGGGGTGTCCAGCACTGCGGGCCAGGCCGGCGCACCTGAGTCACCACTGACTCAGGCCCTGGAGGAGCACCACTGGGGGGGCTGGACAGGAAGGGGGGGCCGTCCGTGTGCAGGGATAAGGCGCTTCTGTGCAGGAGTCGGGCGCCAGGCCCATCCCAGCGGTCCCCCCACTAGGCTGCGGGGGTGGGGAGCCCGCAGGCCCCAGTGCCCCCCACCCCCCCACGGCCCTGCTTCCGGCCTCCGCCCAGGGGCTTGCTCACTCACAGCCGAACAATTTCTCCTCTATATGGAAAGAACATGAGCCTTTCCTGCTGGGGGAGGCACGGCTGGCCGGCGGCACGCTGGGCTCCAGTCATGAGCTGCATGTTCGGCCCCCTCCCGCCTGCTGGCTCTGCCCCAGAAGAAGGGGCGGCTCCCAGCCGGGGGATGCTGGTGGGGACCGCGGTTTGGGGCATCGCTGGCACCTCTCTGTCCCAGCCCTGTGAGATGAGAGGCCCCACGGCCCGCTGAAGGTAGCCCAGTGCACCTCCAGATTTCAGGACAGTTTCCAAACTGCCAGCTCCCTGTTCCCACCGGTCCGCGCCTTCCCGCAGAGACGCCTTTCCTGCTGAAGACTTCCCTTCTCTGCACAACCCTCCAAAACAGCTTTCCTGTGTCCCAGACACTTCAGGCCAGAGGCCTGGGCTCCATCCTTGGCACTGCCCCGGCCCCCTAAGCAACGAGCACCCATGGGTGAGACCCTCAAATAAACAAAACTCTACAAAGGAAAAGGTTTTCTGTTCAAAAGAGCTGAGATAGAAAATGAGCTGTGTGTTCACTCCTGGGTGAAGGAAGGAGTGGAGGGAGGGAGGGAGGGAGGGAGGGAAGAAGTAAAGGAAGAAGGAAGGAAGGGAGGGAGAGAGGCAGAGAGAAAGGGAGGGAGAAAGGGAAGAAGGGAGGGAGGAAGGAAGAAAGAAAGGAAGGAAAGAGGGGAAGAAGGAGGAAAAGAAGGTATGAAAGGAGGGAGGGAGGGAAGGAAGGAAGGAAGGAAGGGAAGAAGAGAGGGAGGGAAGGAAGAAAGGAAGGAGGGAACGAAGAAAGGAGGGAAGGAAGGAAGAAGGGAAGGAAGGAGGGAGGGAAGGAAGGAGGGAGGGAAGGAGGGAGGGAGGGAGGGAGGGAGGGAGGGAGGGAGGGAGGGAGGGAGGGAAGTGCGTCCCTTTTTGGGTGGGTGGGTCACATCTGAAGGTGCTCATGGGTACTCCTGGCTGTGCTCAGGGATCACTCCTGGCAGTGCTCAGGAGACCTTTGGGGTGCTGGGGACTAAACCCGTGAGCATGGAAGGTGCTTTCTCTGCTTTTGTCTGTTTGGCCCCTTCAGTTCAGAATCTCAATCCCTCAGCTTGAACCTCCCCTCAGAGGGAGGTAGGCGTTTCTCTACACCCCCAGTGGACTTGCTGGCCCCTTCTCCTGGTCTTTCTTCCTGGGGAACCCAGTGCACCCCTTGGCCGAGGGGAAGCACTGAGCTCAGAGAGTGACCAACTGTCTCAGATGCGCTGGTCCCCACAGAGTCTGGCCTTGATCCTCCTCCTAATTCCTCCCTACCCCCCCCCAAGCCCTCCCCTTGGCTCTGGGACATCTCCCAACCGCCATGGGCTCTGGTCTGAGGGGGCACCCCACCCAGGCGGGCTGCAGTGCCCATCTCAGCCCAGTGAGACAGTGGACAGGGCTGCCGGGAGCCTCGCTGCTCTCTCCTGGCAGGGGCTGGGGTGCCGGGAGGGCGTGGGGGCGCAGACAGGGACGGCATCGGCAGCCTGTGAGGGGCCCCCAGGGCGGGCGGCCAGGTGCCCGCGGCCGCCGGAGAGAGGACCCCTTCTCTGCACTCAAAGGTGGATAGAGGGAGGCCGGCGTGGGGGATTTTCCGAGAAGCCGCTCAGGAGCGGAGAATGGGGACGTGTGTGTCTGGCTGCCGTTCTGGCCGAGGCTCAGGCCGCAGTCTGGAGCTGGCGTCAGCTGGAGACAGCCTTGCCCGGAGGAGGTTCGGGGGGCTGCGGGGGGGCCGCGCCGGCTGGCGGGCAGGAGGGGTCCAGACCAAGCAGGGGAGAGACACCAGGGACAGTGGGGGCCAAAGGGCTGGTGGGGGTACTGGCCCCCAGCAGGTGGGGGTGTCCCTTGGTCCTTTGCTGCTGGAGCCCAGGGCCCACGGGGAAGTGTGGACATGCCCGTCCACCCGCTCTGCCCTGGCCCCATTTTTCCGCTTGGCAGAATTTTCTCTTTTGAAGGATCCTGTCTTGGCCACGTCGTACATTAACATGGTTCAAGCCCAACGTGCTATAAAAGCCTTCTCATTGGTCTGGGCCAGAGCCCAGGGGCTGGGCGCTCCGTGTCCACCAGGAGCCCCCCGAGGCCAGCTGTGCTCTCCCTCCAGCTTCCACTGGGCCAGTCCCCAGCTCCCAGCAGAAGGAAGGGTTCTGAGTCCCCAGAAAGGGTGGGGAGAGAGAGAGGGAGGGAGAAAGGGGGGAGTGAGAGGGAGAGAGAGAGGGAGACAGAGGAGGAGAGAGAGGGAGGAGGGACAGAGAGGGACAGAGAGAGAGTCAGGTTCAGGAGGGAAATGTCAGCCTTGGGATGGGGGCTGGGTCGAGGAGGAACCTGTGAGACATTTGGTTTTCTCTCCCTTTTTTGGGGGGTGGGGTGGGGTGGGCACGCCCAGTGATGCTCAGAGCTTACTCCTGGCTCTGAACTCAGGGGTCACCCCTGGCGGTGCTCAGGAATCCTGTGGGTGCTGGGGATCAAACCTGGGTCGACTGCGTGCCAGGCGAACGCCTCCCTGCTGTCCTGTTGCTCCGGCCCCTGTTTGGGTGTCTGGAAAGGGCTCTGAGCTGAGGAGACATCGGTGAGAGGAACCCGTTTACCACCCAGCAAAGATGGAGGGCGAGGGGTGTCCTGTCTAATGGGCAGCTCTACTGAGCCATGGCACAGCGGGAGAGCGCTTGCCTGGCATGCAGCTGACCCGGGTTCAATCCCTGATATCCCATAAGGTCCCCTGGGCACTGCCACGATTAATTCCTGAGCACAGGACCTGGAGTAACCCCGGAGCATCACCGGGAGTGGCCCCAAAACCAAAACAAACAAAAAAACCTCAGAATCCC